GGATCCTTATGGCCAGCCATCTCGTAACTTCTCACAAGTCCCAAATTCTTACAACCAGCCACCTAACCCATACAATCACCCACATAACCCATATAACCAGCCCCCTAATCCATACAATTAGCCTCCACGTCCCTATAACCAGCCACCAAACCTCTACAACCACCCACCTACTCCTTAGATTGCCAAGTGTAGTTTTACATGGTCCCATTTTCCCCCATGGTGGACCACAGACTAGTGTTTATTAGTAGAATTGGAGTGTTGTAATGTTAGACAGCTTTATTTGAGTACCAAGTTCTCCCCTGTAACGTTTAAGTATATTATGAGTTGTATTTTTTATTTTTGATTAGGTAGTGTGCTTGGACTATTGTTCCGGATTGTTGTCTTGTAGTTGATTTTAAAACATTTGACTTGTTGGACCATTTGAGTATTGTTTTAAATACAATTGCGTTATTACAAATTCCTTGTATAGTATGGAAATTGTGCTACACAAAGTGGATTACAACAATTGAGATCATGCTTGTAATAACTTGTTTGGTAATGTGTCGTTACAGGTTAACATGTAAAGTAACACAATGCAGCCCCAAGGATTAACGAGCGAACGTCACGAAGTGGATGCAAGTAGATCTTCCCGCCGAAGAAGGCGCTATCTTGCAGTAATGGCAGGCCCCCGCCATTGTTTTTTATGACCAGGTACTAAGGCTGATGCATAACTCGTCTTTAAGGGGTATAGACAAAGTAAACGAGTTATTAGCAAACAATAATGAGGCGGCAATGTTTAACAAGGTGCGTATGGGACCACGTGTTTATGATTCTTTGTGAAGTACTAACTGAGAGACATTTGTTATAACCCACAAACAACATGAACGTCCCAGAACAAGTATTTGTCTTCTTAACTATCGTTGCCCAAAGTCAAACTAATCGTGAGGCACAAGATGTCTGGCAACATTCTGGTGAGACCATTTCACGGAGATTCAGTTATGTCCTAGACACCATTTGTGCGCTGCACGATGACTTCATTAAACCCCAAACTATGACAGAGTTAGTGATTTTGTACGTGGCAATCATCATAGATATGGGACATGGTTTGACGTAAGTTATGTTTCTCTGTCCTATCAATTTCATTAATCTTTTTGAAGTTGGGTTTCTTATTAATAAGTCACAACTGTGGTTTACAAAGATGCTCACCTCTTTCATTGTGGAACTGATGTTCAGGACTGTGTAGGCCCAATTGACGGGACTCATATACCTTGTACGCCGATTGGGGTTCAAAATCCGACGGCTTACCACAATAGGAAGGGTGTCAACTCTCTGAATATAATTGCAGCATGTTCTTTCGATATGAAGCACGTACATGTTAACTGGTTGGGAAGGGTCAGGACATGATGCACGAGTGCTTAAAGATGCTGTCGACAAACCGAAGTTCAAATTCCCACATCCACCGCATGGCAAGACTTCAAACCAACGACATGATTCTAAGTCATATACATGTTACGACCTACAAATTCTAACAAAATCCGTTTAAGTTGCACAGGAAAATGGTACCTTGTAGACGCGGTATATGCAAACAATGCTTGTTTTCTTGCTCCGTATAGAGGTGGGACATACCATTTGCCTGACTACCGAAGGAGAAGTGGTGGATTTAGGGGACCTAGAGATATTTATAACTACAAACACTCTTCGTTGCGAAATTGTATAAAGCAAACTTTTGGTGTTTGGAAGGCTAGGTTCCCCATCTTAAGGCGGCCAAATAATTGTTATCCAATGAACAAACAAGTGAAGATTCCTGTGGCATGTGCAATCTTACATAATTTTATTCACATGGTAAATGAGGGGGACCCGCTTCTGAATCAATACTACCATGATGGTGTAATGGTTAGTGAAATAGATCCAACCAATAGTGATGAATTTGATGACGTTGACAATTCCAACAATGGCGATAATGGCCCCGAGGGGCCAACAGTAACAAGAGCTACTGTTAGCCAAACAGAGATGGGTCAATTTAGGGATCGCATTGCGAATGAAATGTGGTTGGAATATCAAAGAAGCTGTGGGAGACAAGGTTGAAAGTGCAAATCAGCAATGGGATTCTGCAATATTACTTCATATTCATGTATCAATTATATTTGCAACATGACTGAATATACATTCTGTTAGACCTTTCATTGTCAATTTTTTTTCTCTGCATTTTCATGGACACATTGGACCTACAATTGTTATTATATATATTGTGTGTGTATATATTTGTTCATGAATTTTGTGTGCCGAAGAGAGGAGTTTTGTTGTGGGAACGGGGGAAATGGCCTAAGTTGGACTTGTGTGTTGTTTTGTTGGCGTCAACTCTCAAAATAGGCTAGCCATATTGGCTAGATGGAAACCGGCAAGAAGGAAAAATAGGTCAAAACGACACTGATAATGGTGTCTTCTTTACAGAGGGCATTTCATTTCATTTCTTAAAGTATAGCGTTTGTTACAGGTAAGAAAGGTTCTTTATTTTCTTGTATGGTATTTGATAATATGTTCCTGTTATTTCTCAGGTGATGTTAAAGACTTTGGACCATGTGGTGGCAATGGTCTTGAACTCATTTCGTGATCCCCATCGTTGTGTAAGGTGGGCAGCTATTAATGCTATTGGTCAATTATCTACGGATTTTGGCTCGGATTAGTTATCATAAGCAGGTGCTTCCTGCCCTTGCTAGAGCTATGGATGATTTCTAGAATCCTAGAGTGCAGGTCATCCACTAGCTTTATGCTTATCAATTTCTTCCCCAAATGACTAATTTAATTTTGTATGAGATATGATTGCTCAACACATGATTAATATGATATCATGTATTTTAAGTTAACACACACACACATGGGTGACGTGCAACCAAACTGATGCCCCATATGACATTGTAAGTTCTTAGCCTGTATGCGTGCATGTGTTTTAAGTTAACACACACACACACACACATAAAGTATGCTTTTCACATTCATCTATAATTTTTCGTATTTTTGGGGTTCCATTGATAAATTTGGGAATCCCAAATGAATTATGACACTAGAAGATACGTGTGTGCGGAAGTGTGTGTGTGTGTGTGGATTTCAATTTATGGTGCATATCTGGTTTATTTGTAAGTGATAAATTTATCTCTTTTAGGTTATTGTTTTGCAGGTATACGTCATGGGGTGGGAGATTGCCTCACAGACCTGAAATTGAAGACCTTGCATTTGCTATTCTTCTAGTCGAACATGTTTAAAGTATTCTTTCTTGCCTTATTCTTTTGTCTCCTTGTAAAGTTTTGTGTAAGCAATTGGAGGGTCATTGGGCTGATATGTTTGGAATGGCTACTGAAATCATTACAGTAAGGTGAATGTATGGAAGACTCTTGGGGTTCTGTAATTTTTTGCATTTGATACATGCTTGGCTTGTTATATAATTTCATTCACATTTTTTCCCCCTATTTCGTAGTTAGATTGTTATAATTTTGAGTTATAAGTATTTGTATAATTTTTTTCTAGTACTTCATTTTTTTAATTATATAACGAATTATATTTTTTTACATTACACGTAATTATTATATAATTATATTTTTTTACATTACACGTAATTATTATATAATTTTTAACTTATATAATAATTATATATTTTGGTCATGATTCAAATTCAGAAAATAAGATAACCAAACACTGGTTCGAATCACATTTCAGGTTAGAATCAGAATCATGCATATACACATCCAAACAAAGGTTCTAATCACTCTGAATCATTATTCAAATCATGAATCATGGATCTGAATCAAATGACTCAAATCACCCTGATTTCAATCCTTATACCAAACGGACCCTAAGTATTGCTCAACTTTGAAAGGTCAATTAAAAGTGCCGGATGTTTTTGGCCTGAACTACTTTTATTACTTTTTATTTGGATTATTTGTTATTTTAATACATTCGAGTGGCAATTTAGAGTGTGGGATAAGGCTTCTATTGGCTGCCAATTTATTATATAGTTTTCTCTTATGCTAGTTGATCATATTTTGATTTCCAATAATGTCAATTCAAAGTCGCGAGTAATTAAAGATAAGTACTCCCTCCGTTGCACTAACTTTCATAAAATTTCTATTGAACTGATCAACGTTAAAGTTGGCACCGCGCGCGTTAATTAATATTGTTGCAGATTCAATTGCTTGACTCTTATGAATTGGGTGCTATTAATTCTACACCCGATAATCAACATGAAGCCACGGTAATTAATTACAGTGAGCTGCATGCAAATTCCAATAGTAGGGATTCCGTCGATCATGAGACAGATAATTGAGCCCCAATAATGATATTGATGATAGAGCCATTCAGCCAAGTAATATTAATGGCAGTCCAATGATTAAACTCGAGGTCAATCTTTCTAAGCCTTATAATTTTCTGAAGAGATGAACAATATGGCGAATGAATCTTGGGCGGACTTGGTTGATCAAGAAAATTTTGTTGCTTTGTGTTTTATTTTTTATTTTTATTTTTTTCTGTTAATTCCCAACTTAAAGTAAAAAAGCAGCAATTCCAATAATATGCTTACATACCAAAAAGGAAAAGAAAAGGAGGAAAGGAAATATTATGAATTATTAATGGAAAAGTTATCTAATTATTTGAGCCTTGGTTAGGCGCACAAGATAATCAGATAATCAAGACAATGCTAATAAAGAGAGATCTTTGCTCTTTCTGCGTTAAGCTATGTTTTGCGCACTCATTAATGTCATAATTCTTTAAAGAAAAGAATTACGTTCATTGGAGTTGAGAGATATATTTCCCCTAAAAATCTAGTTTTTATTTTTTATTTTTTATTTTTTTGCGTCAGCCGTGAGCTCACAAAAATATAAAGTATGGTGGCGGTGGGAAAGGAATGGGATAGTTTATGGGGAATATAATAATATGGCAGACTTTTGTATCATTTATAGCGCCCACGTCAAACCATATCAACATTATATTGTAAATATAGACGATAAACATCCCATACGCATCTCCATCATTTTAACCAAAGCAAACACCAGCCATGGATCTTCACTATCTTCCTTCAATCGTTCCAGCCACGGCACCTATTTTGGTTGGTTTACTCTTTCTCTTCCATCTCTTATGGAAACAAAGATTTTCCCGGAGAACACCACCGGAAGCTGGCGGCGCGTGGCCCATCATCGGCCACCTTCACCTATTAGCAGGGCCGCAGCCTCCCCACATAACCTTGGCCCACATGGCCGATAAGTACGGCCCAATCTTCACCATAAAGATGGGAGTTCACAGAGCTTTGGTGGTAAGCAGCTGGGAGATGGCAAAAGAGTGTCTCACCACAAACGACAAGATTTTCGCCAACCGTCCAAAAGCAGCAGCCCCAGAACACATGACCTACAACTATGCCATGTTTGGGTTCAGCCCTTATGGCCCTTACTGGCGCCAAGTGCGCAAGATTGCCACGCTTGAGTTGCTTTCCAACCACCGTCTAGAGATGCTCAGCCATGTCCGAGTATCCGAGGTGAATACTGCCATAAAAGAGAAATATGAGCTTTGGGTTAAGAACAATAATAGTGGTAATAATAATAACGGAGTGGGGGTAGAGATGAAGAAATGGTTTGGGGACATAACGCTTAACGTGATCTTCAGGATGGTTGTGGGGAAGCGATATCTTGAGGCTACAAGCTTGAGTGAAATAGGAAGTGATGATCGGTGTCGAAAGGCGTTGAGGGATTTCTTTGAATTGACGGGGACTTTTGTGGTGTCCGATGCGCTTCCGTACTTGAAATGGTTGGACTTTGGGGGCTATGAGAAATCCATGAAAAAGACTTCAAAAGAGCTTGATCAATTAGCTCAAAGATGGCTTGAGGAGCACAAGCGGAAGAGAGTTTCCGGGGAAGTTAATGGTGACCAAGATTTCATGGACGTGATGCTTTCGATTCTTGACGGCGCAGAGTTAGGAATTTCAAGTACTTATGATGCTGATACAATCAACAAAGCTACTTCCCTGGTATGTGTTAAATGTTATTTAGTAAAAATCTATTCAGTATATAGACGTGATTTGCAGCATGCTAGCTTCCAATTAAAACTCCTAGATATTTAGTTTAGCCTTTCTTTGTGATTTGAATTTAGTTTTGGGTTAATCTAGGAAGGAAAAACAAAAATGGTCCACAATCTTTACACTAAATCCAACTTTGGTCTTTTACGTTCAAAACATCTTCAAATTGACTTCGATTTATTTTGATATAATTACAAAAAACTAGTCATTCTGCTAACTGTTCAAAAATGACTAAAAGACCTAGCTGGTCGCGTAAGCGGTGGGCAGTTCAATTATTAGATTGTGAATGACATTTTTTATTACCCTTTTTCAAGCAGACAAAATATATACATATATATATATATACCTATATGAAGAATAAAGTATAAAAACCAAATCATGATATACTTTTCCATCAGTTAGTTTATGGTGTGTAGTAAATAAAACGTCTGTTTTATCTTTACTTAAATGGTGAGTGGGTGATATGTAATTTTTTCGTCCAGATTTAACGTGAATAATGATATGTCTATGTCAAGTATTGACAAAATACAGTTTTTAAAAGTTTAAACATTACGGATCAAAGTCGAATTTGGTATAAAGTTCGGTAAAATTGTTTAAGTGAATCCTTTAGTTTACTATGTTACAAATAGTCTGACAAGAAAAAACGCATTTGGTAGACCAGATTTCACGTTATAGATTCAAATACAACTCTACATAATATTAAATTTGGAAATTATAACAAAAGAAGTAGAGATGCAACAATGGGTTGGGGCCCGTGGGCCGGCCCAGGCCCATCCTGACACAGTAATGGGCCGGGCCGGCACAGCCCGTCACTATTCAAGGCACGGCCCAGCCCATAAATATTATGGTGGGCTGGACTGGACCAACATATATCAGCCCATAGGCCGGCTTGGCACGACCTATGAAAAATCACGGGTCAGCCCGTCTAGGCCCATGATGAGCCGGCCCAGCCCGGCCTGTCTGGGTCCATAATGGGTCGGCCCAACCCAGCCCATCTAGGCCCATAATATCTTCATGTTTTTTTTTTCTTTTTTTAATAATTTTGTCAACATTTTATGTATAATTATCCTGATTGTACTATTTTTTTCTTACCAAGATTTTATCCCACTGGGTTTTGCTTAGAAAGGTTTTTATTTAATAAGGTAATCGTAAATAAAATATCTCTTTTCATATTTTCATTGACTATTCGAATTTATATATTTGTTAACTTATTTAAAAAATTAAAACTTAAAAATTAAAAAATTACATGCTTAGATGGCCCATCTAAACTTATTATGGGTCTTGAGTGAGCCAGCCCATTCAAGGCCCATGGCACGACCCATCCTGACCCGCGGCACAGCCCAGCTTGGTCCATGTAAAATTAGCCCGTTGTGTGGACTTGGTCGAAGTCATTCTTATACGGGCCGGCCTGAGTCACGAAATTCGTGAACTAGGCCAGCCCAGCCTATGGCCCACGACCCGCGTGAGCCTAAGGAGAATGGGTCAGCCCATTCATGCATCTCTAAAAAGAAGATCAATTCGTTCTTTTCAATTTAATTAACCTTTTTCAAATTTGTGTTCTTTTCTTTCATAAATTTCGTAATCGAAACCCTATTTTCAAATATAATTTATACTATAAATTTTCAATAAACTAGTATTTGATCCAAACTATATTCAGCTACTTCTCATACATCTTGGATAATGAACCTTGCACGTTGCAAGAACTTTTATTTTCAATTTTTCTTAGTAGTACTCAATCATCTTGTACGATCGATCTTAGCTAGCCTTTGAACGTTAAGATTCTTTTTTCTTTTTTTTTCCTTTTTTGATGAGTGTCAAAGATCACTACTCTGTATCCTCAAAATTCTAGAAAATATTAATTAGTTAATTATTTCCAGTGTGCTAGCTAGCTAGGCGCAGTTAGTTAAAAGTACTGTTGTTAGTACTGTCAGAGGCCGGCTTGCTATATACTATGAACTCAATTCTTATTTCTCTTCTTGCTCGTTACGTGGCTCTCAATTAGCTATCATGGTTCTCTTCTTTAATTATTTCTATTTCTAGCTATATTATGTCTTGAAGTATATAGTATGTCATTTATTGATACAGTTAGCTTGTTAAGCATTTATTATAATTTATATGATGCGTGCAGTATTGATTTATATAAAAATATCTAAGCCATCAACAAGAAATATTAGTGTAAACTACTGATCATTGATACGTCCATACACCCTGGCCCCACCAACTTGCGGCTTATTAATCTTCTTAACTAATTATATGTACGACGTACGCTGAGGGGAATAGGAGCAATGAAGGGACTCTTTTATTTTCTGACATCGTTAATTTCACGGATTCGAATTTTTAATTCGAGCTGAAATATAATAATTTTTTAGAGCTTTTTATTGTAGTAAAAAAAGTTAGATGTGACATTTTTTGAGAGTTTTTTACTGTAGAAATTTAGAACTGAAAATTCAAATCGGTAAAATGAACGATGCCTGAATAATTCTCTAGTACGCTTCACGTATTAATAAATCAAATTTTTCTAACCGTTAGATTTATATATTTTTTTTTTAATTTTTATGTAATTATATACAAATTTAACGAATAAAAAACTTAAATATCAGACACGATGACCTACCGGAAAATATCCCTTCTTTTTTTTCACCTTTTCCAAGTCTTTAAACCTGGTACAAGAATTTCTCAAAAGACAAAAACCAAAAAAAAAAAAAAAACCAAAAAAAAAAAGCCTAGTACAAGAGTTTGTGAACTCCTATGTGCACACGAGTTGGAACACCCTTCACACATTTCTCCTCCTGGGACCATCATAGCGCGAGAGTGGAAATGCGAGCACACCATTGATAAATAATTTGTACGAACTCAGGAAATACATTATTTTGACACGTTTAGAAGCCGATCCCATAATGATAAATATCTCTCCAAATTTATGAACGTCCCATGATATAAATAAGGATATTATATGCATGAACATTTGCTGCAAAAAGCTACTTTCCACATTCAATGTCCATTGATTGACCCATAAAGTTGAGGCTTTTAGTCTATATACTATAAATTACGAGTGTATAAAGCCACGTTTATCTAATAATGCTTTTGTAGGCTCTTATTCTGGCTGGCACCGATACAACAACGGTGACAATGACATGGGCTCTGGCTCTCCTTCTCAACAATCGAGAAGCCCTAAAGAAAGCCGAACAAGAATTAGACCTATACGTTGGCAAGGAAAGGCAAGTGAAGGAATCAGACCTAAAGAACCTGGTTTATCTGCAAGCTATTCTCAAAGAAACAATGCGTTTATACCCAGCAGGGCCACTCTCACTACCACACGAGTCCACAGAAGACTGCACCGTCGGAGGCTACCATGTTCCGGCAGGCACGCGCCTCCTTCTCAATCTCTCGAAGCTTCATTTGGATCCAAAAGTGTGGGACCAGCCGAGCGAGTTTAGGCCGGAGAGGTTTCTCACGGCTCACAAAAACGTCGACGTTAGAGGACAGAACTTCGAGTTGATACCGTTTAGTAGTGGTAGAAGAATGTGCCCCGGGGTGTCGTTTGCGCTTCAAGTTATGCAGCTCACACTAGCCGCTTTGCTTCATGGGTTTAAGATTGCGACGAGGTCGGATGAGCCAGTTGATATGCGTGAGACTGTCGGATTGACTAACCTTAAAGCCACCCCTCTTGATGTCATAATCACCCCACGTCTTCATGCTGGAGCGTATCAATGAAATGTAGGAACAAGAACAATATTTCTACTTTCTAGATGAAATAAGGCTATATGCTTATGTATGTAGTTGGTCCTACTTCCCAAAGACCAGTTATATAAAAAGTGTTTATCAAGTACTTCATGTAGTATTCATTTGATACTGATATTTGACTTATTTCAATGTAATAATTTCAACATGTTTGATATACTCCTATTATTGTCAAGTTTTTTTTTTTTTAAAATTTTAGATGGGGTTAAAATTAAAACATTAAACCTCATCATTAGAAGCAATTTTGGATATAGGCATTGGTGGATCCATAATGTGTACTAGTGGGACAAAAAAGAAAAGAAAATGAAAAAACATAATTCTACTCCTAATTTTATTTTTAAAGCTACAGGTATCTCTCGTTTTTTAAATCTACAGTTTTAACCCTTTTATTAAGAAACCGTCTATTTTTCTTGACAAAATGTAACAAGAAGGCACGTGATAGTTTTAAGAGGAATACATAGCAAAAAAGAAAAAAGCAATTCAAAAAAAAAAATCTAAGAGAAAAAAAAAATCCAGATTTGAGTTGGACATTGCACTTATATGATTTTATACTTTTTATTTGACTTTTTTCTTTTTAGATATTTTTTTTCAAATTCCTTTTTTTATCTCTTTAAACCCCCTCAAGGGTTATTCCCTTGCTAAAATCTGTTTAGAAATACACAGTGTATTAACGAATTGGTCAACATTATGTACTTTAAAAAGAACGAGGTCACCAAAAATAAATGCTAAAGATAAAAATCAGACAAGTTAATATCTTTAAGGATCATTGTGGGAATTACAACCTTTACTTTGACTTCACTTTTATTTGAATATTTGAATTCATGTTGGTTTTTTAACCAAAGAATTAAGACGTTTGAACATAAATTAATTTAAGTGGATAAAATTCTCTAGTTATGCTGATAATCAATTTGCTCTTAAAAAATTCTCTGCAACTATTGCATTTATTTAAACATTTATTAGTTAGTTTTTATTTATTTGTTCTCCGTTTTAAATATATACGACATGACCTTTTCCTTTATGGAGATATACGACATTACTTGACTAATTATTGAATGCCGAATATAAGTAATATACAAATGAGCATTCAAGACGAGATGGGGCAACCGTTGGGTGTTGTAGTCAGTGATGCCTCTACATTGTCTCATTGATTGCCCTGTCAAAATCATATAGCTAAGCCAAAGCGACGACAAGGGACGCAATTGTCCTAGTCCTTAGTTTTATACTTTTATTTTTTAAAATAATACATCATTCCCTTTTTACAAATTATAAATCATTTCTCGTATTTAAAAAAAAATAAAATTGTTTCCTTATTCTTAGCTGCATGAATGATATATATTTAAAGGGCAGGGCGTAAATCCCAAATAAACAAAACATGAACAACTGGATACTGATTAATGTAGTAAAAATGAAAATAAAAACAGAAACGAAAAAGAACAAAGGAATTTACTACGGTTTGTGCATATATATTAGGAATGCGATTGTAATTGTTTTTTCAGAAAGCGATTATGGGATTTTAGACGACAAATTAAAGCTAGCCGACAGTATGTCGGTCAAATTTAGTATTAGCCGGCATTAGTAGGCGAACTTATGCCGCTGCCTATAGTTTTTTTTTTTTTTTCTTTTTTTTTTTTTTTCTTTTTTTTTTTTTTTTTTTTTTTTTTTTTTTTTTGCTGAATTAAAACAAACACGTGGCTTGACATTTGACTGTAACAATTTGTGCAAATTTTCTTAATTATCCAAGAAAAATTGAACTCGTAAGTCCTCCTTATTTTTGTTTTTATATATTCTTTTTCTATTTAAAGACTAGCATGGAAGTCTGGTGATTTGCTTAAGGGGGAGTATGGTTACGGGCACAACGTGGTTCACGTCATCATGACTGAAATCATGATTAATTTCTTTTCGTATTTAAGGATTAAATGATTTCGCTGTCAATGCTTATTCCGCAAATCATTCTCCATTAAATTAATCTCCAATCCTTATTATTAGATCAATAATTGAACAAATTCGAAATTTTACTTTTTCATGGCCTTATATTCTTTCAAATATCTCCTTTAGTTCCCTCGTGTTTCTGTCACTCACAAGCAAACCCCCACCTTTTAAATCCCTCTCTTCGCGTTTGAATTTCATTTTTGGAATAACAACAACGTAATAAAGGTTACAAAAAAAGAAAATGGAAACTAATTAATTGCAAAAAAAAAAAAAAAAAAAGCGTATTTAACCAGAGTCAGCTAACCATGGTTTATGATGCCATATTAACGTTCAGAAACTAGTGGGCTTTAATACAGGGCATAACAGAAAAAGTCGCGTACTAATAATTAAAGAGTACAATTCCTCTGAATTTTCCCGGCGATCGAATTTCTCCGTCAGGAGTTAGCCTTATGTTTCGCGATGCAGTTGACCGGAGCGTGAAGCGACGCGCCGCCAACGCCATGGCGCATAGAGTCGTAGTCGCCGTGAAAGCCGAGAAGCTGATCTCCAAGTCCGCATTAGCCTGGGCTCTGAACCACGTCGTTCATCCCGGCGATTGCATAACTCTGCTCGCTGTCTTGTCCGGCGAGAGAACTGGTAATTTCGAGCTTGTGTTTCTCCGCTGTTTGATTAATACTGCTCGATTTTTCATTTGTTGTTTGAATTCTTCTCTGTTTGATTGCTAATTGTGGATTTTTGGAAACGCGAAATGTGAATTGAAGGTAAGAGATTCTGGAGGTTTCCGATATTGGCCGGCGATTGCGGGAGCAACCGGCGGGAGAAGTTGCCGGATCGGATTTGTCAGATCTCGGAGTCGTGTTCGCAGATGGTGCTTCAGTTTCACAACCAAATCGAGGTGAATTCGAAACTTACCAAAAACACCACTAACCGCCTTTCTTTTTCATGGACTCCTTGGTCAATTTCACTTTTTGTGCCCTTTGTTTTAGGACACGTCATTTGTCGCTTTCCGACACATTATAGACACAACCATGTGGGTTTTTTGTTTTCACTTTTTGAACGGTTAAAGTTGGCAATTTTTTATGGTATCATTTTCTAATGATGTTTAAATTTTTTAATGAAGAAAAGATAAAAGATTATGATTGTCTCTGGCGATTCATCGTTGGGGGTCAGAGTTTTAATAATCTGTATTTTTCCGAGCACAAACAAATTAAATCATTAGAGTGCCAGTGTGGGCATTCCCTAAAAAAGAAAAGAGACGAAGAAGAGAGATGTTTTTATTTGGGATCTTCGTACCTGTACAAATGCGTGTAAAAAATAATAATAAAATAAAAGAAATATTCAGTTGGTAACTCAGCACCAGAATCTGTACAAGGAAATTATTAATTGTTTGTTGCCATCTGACTGTAGTTATAAATTGTTGTTGACAGTGAATATGGTATCAGGTAGCCTATTCCACATTGAAATCATTTGGATCTTTTGCACTTTCCACTGCAAAAATACGTTGGACTTGATTCCTGAAACACCATTTACTGCAGTGGAGTAAATGCACTAGAAGAATACCTGTTAGACTAGTTTAAGGTCCCACGTTGAGTTTGTCTCTCAGTTACTGTTCACATCTAGTTAGTAGTTAGTCCCTATACCACTTGTCTTTTTTTTTTTTCATTGGAGTAAATGCCACTGGCTTTTTCTCCTTTTTTTCCCCTGAAATGTGTAAATCCTAACCTTCCTAGCACTTTCTACCGACTGATGTATTTTCCCTGAAATGAATCCTACAAGTATGAATGAATACAAGGCTACAAGCTGCGCTTTTAGACTTTTCATCTCCTTCAAATATCGGGAATGATTAAGGTCCATTTAGTTCACTGATTCGAATTTTTAATTTGAGTTAAGATGTGACTTTATATTAATTTTTTACTGTAACAAAAAAAGTTAGTTGTTATTGTTTCTAAGAGTTTTTTACTATAATAAAACTCAAATTCTAAATTCGAAACGGTGAAATGAATAGGGTCTAAATAAAGGTATTCAATTATAGATTCTTGATTGCAGGTTACTGTGAGGATTAAGGTGGTGTTAGGTTCGCCAGCGGGTGTAGTGGCGGCTGAAGCAAAGGGCAATGGAGCCAACTGGGTCATACTGGACAAGTAATTAATTGTTAAAAAGTATTAGTTCTTATTTCCGAGCTATTAATTTAATTTAATTGGTCCTCAACATAACTGGTCACTCTGTTTGTTATATTATTTAACATTACTTTCTTCATCGCCACCGTATCCCGTCCTTGCTCTTCGCCTCTAGGAAATTCATCTAAAATAATAATTCTTTTGCCAACAAAAAAGAGGCATGCCACCACAAAATTAAGATCATTATAATTTATAAGAAGCAGACAGTATTCGGTCGCCACATGCTAAATAATGTCTAAGTCCGCATCTAGTATTCTTTCGAACTAAAAAATGCAATAGATAGTGGCGCTATCTTAAAAAAATGTTTGTAGGGTGGCAGAGCATTTTAGTCCAGAATATTAGGTTCTAGTTTCCAGCACAATCAACAATCGGATTGGACATTAGGTTCTGGTTTCCAACACTAGCACAGTTCAGTTCACAGATAGACTATTCTGCTTGGTGTGGTAGCCTATGTGTAACTTTATCCTTAATTCTTCTCTAACCTAGGGAAGACTCAAGTGAGATTAAAAAGTACATACTAATACCACTAGTCTTAATTTCAACTGGTATTGAACCATGTAGTATTTTGTTTGTCTGCTTTTGACAACTTTATAAATCTATTATAGAAATTAAACCCAAAAAAAAATGTTTACACAGTATTTACGATGCAGGTTGTGATTTACTTCCTTTTTTTTTTCAGAAATATATGTAAAACTAGTTAATCTCCACTAATCATGCTAAAACAGAAAATTGAAGCAAGAGCTGAAGCATTGTATAGAGGAACTGCGCTGCAATATTGTAGTGATGAAAGGTTCTCAACCAAAAGTCCTCAGGCTCAATTTAGCGTCCTCAGATGGACTGGAAACTCCATTCTTTTCTGCTGCTTCTTCACCTATGATGGACTTTGGAAAGATTCAAGGTTTTAAGATGAAGCATTCAACTCCAGTGAGCAGCCCTGATGAAGCAAGTACCTCCTACAGAAGAATATCAAAGGAAGACTCCTTATCAAGTTTCAATAGCGCTGCTTCTGCTTTCCTTGTCTATGAACAGAATCCTCTTTTTGAAGGACCACAGAAAGGAACATATGACAGACTAATTGATGAGCAAAATGATTTTGAAGAGTCATTATCGCCAATTGATTCAAACCAAGAGAGGCTTATAACTCTGTCTAGAATCCCAAGAACAACTACAGCTAGTAATCAGAGCGTCTTTTGGATTCCAGAAAACCACATTGTTGATGGAAAGCATCCCAAACCTCAAAATCATAGAAATCCTCACAAAATTAGATCTTTCAATAAACTTATGTTTGATAAAGATTTGTGTAAGGGTAGAGTTGGGTTTAACCAGACATATAACAAGGACTACATTAATTCAAGCATTAGGGATGCCATCTCTGTCGGAAGAACTTCATCGGTTCCTCCTCCTTTATGCTCTCTATGCCAACATAAAACACCAATGTTTGGAAAGCCCCCAAAACAATTCTCGTATAAAGAGTTAGATGAGGCTACAGATGGGTTCTCAGATATCAATTTTCTGGCAGAAAGTGGTTTTGGCGTGGTTCACAGGGGAGTATTGAGAGACGGCCAGGTTGTTGCAGTGAAGCAATTGAAGTTCGGTGGGTCTCAAGCAGATGCTGACTTCTCCCGCGAAGTCCGGGTTTTGAGCTGTGCACAGCACAGGAATGTTGTGTTGCTAATTGGCTATTGTATTGAGGGCAACGTGAGGATGTTGGTTTACGAATACATATGCAATAGTTCTTTGGATTTTCATTTACATGGTATCCTCAAACCTGAAAAAAGTTTGCTGTTACTCATTCATAATTTACTCGTTGCCTTTATCATCCCTGTCTTCACTTTTATTTAGCTTTCTTATCATTTCCTCTGCTTTCTGTAAATGACAGGAAACGAAAGCCTTTTGGAATGGCACGCAAGGCTAAAGATCGCAACAGGCACAGCCCGTGGCTTACGATATCTTCATGAAGATTGTAGAGTTGGTTGCATAGTCCACAGAGATCTCCGACCCAACAATATCCTCCTAACCCATGATTTTGAACCTATGGTACTTGAAACTATTCCTCATGTCCTTTTAACTATTCTCTTCAGGCTTCATCTTAGAGTCAGCAAAAGCGTTGAGTTAGGGCCCATTTGGTTCATAAATCTGAACGGAAATTTAAATTTTGTTAGAGAAAATATTGTAGCAAAAAGGTTTGAACAGTGTTTCAAATCTATGAAACAAACACATGATTAGTCTTTTTGGTGAACAATTCAATCTTAAAGTGAGTACTGGATCATTATTGTTTTGTGTGAAGGTCTAATTATTATTATTATTATTATTATTTATTTTTTGCCGAGAAGAAGGTCTAATTAATTTATCACTACTTATTGTATAGGTTGCAGATTTTGGTCTTGCTAGGTGGCATTCTGAGTGGGATATCAGCACTGAGGTTCAAGTCTTTGGATCTGCCGGGTACGGTTTTTTTTTTTTTTTTTTTTTTTTTTTTTTTTTTCCCTTTTTTTTTTTTTGGGTGGTTTTTTTTTTTTTTTTTTTTTTTTTTTTTTTTTTTGCACATTCTTGTTTGTAGACATTTCCCACTGTCTACCAAAACCACATGAACATAATAGGAAAATAATTATTTCAACTTGATGACCCGTAGAGAAAAGAGGTGTCTCTCTGATCCGGCTTCAATTCTCAGGTATCTTGCTCCAGAGTATGTCGACGGTGGACAAATAACGCATAAAATTGATGTGTATGCATTTGGATTGGTCTTATTGGAGCTAATGACAGGTCAAAGAATCGCCAAGTTGAAACATACTACTGAACATCATTTTTTGGTTGATTGGTTTTTCCCGCTAGCTGCACTGGAATCAAACAACATAATGCCAAATTATTATCAGATACTGGATCCAACCTTGGCTTCTGAGCAATCCCCTGACTTCCTTCGCCAGCTCGAAGCAATGGGTCGCGCCGCTTCTTTGTGTCTGCTTCGAGACCCTGAATCCAGACCCCAAATGTCAAAGGTTTTCTACTCACATCTTTATCATCTTCGTAAAGACTTAATACACATTTCAATCCTTCAGTAAAAAATTTATTTATATACTTTTGGATCATGTCATCATGACAAAAACCTTTTTACTGAAGTGCTTATCAGAACTGAATCACTTTGGCACAGATACTAAGAGTGCTAGAAGGAGGAGATCTACTTGTTCCTCTCGGCTCAGACATGAACACAGTGGGAAGTAGAAGTGGGCATTTGCAAGGTCTGAGCTCGCGTGTACAACCTGAACTAAGAATCAGCCATTCTCGCAAGCTTTCACATTAAAATTTTCATTTGGGAGGGAGAAAATAGAGATTAAACTTAAAATTATTCTTCTAAAATGATTGTCAACGGAATTGCATTTTACACCGAAGAGTGGATGTGTAGTTTCTTTTACGTGATTATTTGTATTTTTGAAAGTGCCCCGATTGTTTTCTTTTTTACAAGAAATTATGATTTAGCCACACAAATGCCCGGTTATTTGTTGTATAATTAGCATAGCTGTTTTCCGTTCTCAAGTCATTTGAGAATTTTTACACGCTGTACTATATATATAAGTTTATTTACAACTGATATATTACCTTTACAGGGTAGTTTTCATTCAGTGCCTTGTTTGTATATTACTCTCCCATCTACGTTTTCTTTAATGTTCGTAAATTGTTCTCCGTCTACTAAAAAGGAAAATAAAGTAAAAAAGATAAAAACGATTTTGTATATACAAACCAGAAATACTCCTGTTCTATATAGATACATGAAACTCAAGAGGAGAAAGGGTTCTTTCGTGAATCGTGATTGGAGGGAGAAAATCTATGCGAAACGAAGCCATATCAGTTCCCATAATTTTGCCTCTCTGATAGGGTTGTTTGGAGAGATGCTCTCCCATCCCATATCACTTGCTCTGTAAGGAATGATTTTGTGTGTGCTTGCTCTATGAGCTCTTAATTCAATGATGCACTTTCATTTAAATGTGCTTGCTCTATGAGCTCTTAATTCAATGCTTTTTTTTAAAAAAAAAAAAAAAAAAAAAAAAAAAAAAAAAAAATTATGATGTATATTTGGGGACTGTTGACTAGACCAGAAAGACAGTGATCAAATCATTTTTTCCCCTTGATTTTTCGCACTCTTATGATTAGAGACTCCAGAGCAATTACATTTTACGTATACGGCTAAAAACATCACAAAAAAAGTAAGAAACCAAATTTGTATGAAAAGACAAAAAGAAAATTATTATTAGAGAGTTTTTTTAGTGGGATCAGAAACAACGAACTGTCGATAGTTCTTGAGTTTTCAGTTCTCAGATTCACATCAAAAACTATATATTCTATATACTTATTTAATTTTATATAATTTTAATTAGATTTAACAGTCAGAAACTAACACTACTAATAAGAAAAACTACATGAGAACCCTCCTTATTAATATACAAGTCCAAGGCTTTAATAAGAAGTTCAAATTAGTGAGGGAAATTCAAAATTTATACGTGCTCTCACGTCTTTTTTCCAAGCTCAGAACGACTGGATTGACTCCATAAAATATTAAAAAAACTAACGGTCACGCCAAATATGTTCCAACCACCACTAACAAAAAAAATTCAAATTAGTAATAGAAAGTAGTGGAAATTTTATATTCATTCTGATCAGTTTTACATTCTTCTTTTCTTTCTTTTTTTTCTTTTCCACATCCCCACTTGCAATATAGTCAATCATCCTTCTCATTCTATTCCACACCAAATCACCGATCTTAACAAAGTCCAATAAAAACAAACACTTAAAAAAGCAAAAACCTTCTTCAAGTTTCACTTTCTCCCAACATGGTAGGCAAACCATCCAAGCCACCAATCATACGTGTCAAGAACAAGAAATTCCCCTCGAATGATCATATGACACGTGGGAAAAGTACTCCAAAGTCGTTGAAGGTGAGATTCAGTACCTCCTGTTCTTGCTGGCACGTCCCGCAGATGAAAAGCTTCCATCGGACGGCAACGAATCCACGTCCACGTACTGCTGTTGTTGAATCCCAACCGTCTGTGTAACATCAGAGACGCTCCAAACCTTGACGGACTTATCGAGGCTCCCACTGTAAACGACCCACCTCTGATCTCCATCCAACGACTCACGATCCTCCTCGACCGCCAAGCACTTGACTGGGCCCGTGTGCCCCGTCAGCACCGACAGGCAAGTATGGATCACGCCGTCCCTTCTCCACACGCATATGGTCTTATCAGCTGATCCGCTGAACACCAAACCCCCTGCGGCCGCAAGACAAAGCACTGCCAGTTTGTGTCCTTTGAGGACTCCACCGTGGGAGAACTGCTTCTCCCTCTCCCAAAAGTTAACCAAACCATCAGAGGAGCCACAGTACACTATTGAACCGGACGGGTTAACGGCGAGTGCGGTAACGGCGCTCTCTTGTTCCAGAAGCTTCTGGACGAAGGCGTGCTTCGTCGCCTTCCCTTGAAGCTCCCTCTTCCACACCTTGACGGTGCCGTCCGCCGCGCCGGTGAAGACCAAGCCCTCGACGGTGGCGACGACGGAGTTGACGGCGTCGTCGTGAGCGTTGATCGACTCGACGCACTTGGAGTTCTCGATTCGCCAAACCTTGAGAGTCCTGTCCCAGGATGCGGAGTAGAGGAGCGTTTTGTCGTCGCTCAGGCTCAAGCACGAAATAGCATCAGAGTGCTTGATCCAGAGAGCCGTACGGCGGCGCCGTACTTGAACGTAATTGCTCGGTTTGACGGAGCATTTGAAGATGTCCATAAGAGTGGGTAAAGTCCCGGCCCGTTTGTGGACGCTTGGGTTCCTTGGATTGATTTTCCAGACTCGGATTTTGCCGTCTTGATGACCGGTGAAGATCTTCTGACCGGAGATTATTATAGCCTTGACCAAACCGCTGTTTGATTTGAATCCACTAAACTCCTTTAAATTCTTCCAGACTCTGATGTTCTTGCTGTCGGAGCCGGTGTAGAGAAGGTCTCCGGCGGTTGCCAAGGAGTAGATATGTCCCTCTTCGCGGACGAGAGAGCCGATGAGGCTGTTGGGAGGCAAAGCGTCGTCGTATTGCTGGGACCAAGGGGACTTGGAATAAGGAGAAGTTTGATTCCATGGCGACATGAGCATGGGAGAGCCCTCGCAGCTCATACGGCTGGGGTCGTAGCTCATCGGAGAAGTCTGCATTGACGCACTGCTGTTTCTCATTGGGAAGTCGTCCGGATCGTACGGAACCATATTTGAGGAGATGTTCGGGTCCGAATACTGCAACATGTTGCCGAATTTCGGCCTCGGGATGCTATTCGTCTCCACGAACATCATGTTCGATCCTCCTCCTTCTCCTTCTCCTCCTCCTCCTCCTCCTCTCTCGTCTCTCATTATTGTGTTTTAGTTATGATTTTCTTTTTCTTTTTCTTTTTCTCAGATGATCAAGGAATATTCGAAAACAGATATGGCAATTATTGGTGTAGAATTAGAAATGAAGAATGACGATACAGTGTGTTAAGGAGGGATGTTCTAATAATGGCGGGAGAAGAAAGAGAAGGTGCGTATGTGTATTTATATAAATGGGAAGGGGATTGAACGGTAGAGAAATTATGTGCCGCCAGATGCTGACACGTGTAAGGAGGGAATGCGGGGGTTGTCTAATGCATGAAGATCATTGGAGGGATATTTTAGGTTAATCTTGGAATCCGAGTCCGACGGCTACTATATCTATATATGGTTTGTTTTTTAACTGGGCGGCTGTTTTGATTCAGCGGTTGGTGGTTTGATTGCTATTTTGTGCGATGGCTTTGGGTTGGTGTTTAGAGGTTTTAATAATTTTTTTTTTTTTTTTAAGGAATGCGTTGTCACTTTACAAGGTTGTTGAGACGTTTCTGTTAAGTTGTACGGGGGATATATATAGGGTTCGTTCACTTCGTTAATTCAAGTTTATAATTCGAGTTGAAATGTGATTTTGTGTGAGAGTTTTTTACTGTAGCAAAAAAGTTAGATGTGACTGTTTCTGAGAGCTTTTTACTGTAGCAAAACTCGAATTCTAAACTCGAATCGGCGAGATGAACGGGGCCATAGAGGACTAAATTATCGAAGCAGGATGAAATCTATCTAGAACACGGTCGTTTTGATGATAATTAATAAATTGATTAGCTTAATTTGAGGAAGAGAGAACGACTAGTTACACCTTCATTTGCCATCTTGATTTTAATTACTTGTGCAAATAATATTTGTAAGGAAAAGCATGACCCTTATATTGATAATGGTTGCTCTATATTTTATAAATAGTATGTGCAATTTAATACGTTTAAAAATAAAGTTAAATTAACATAATATATATGTAATCGACACAACTATTTCCCCACCAATATTCTAGCTAGGATGGACATAGAAAAAAATATGAATTTTTTACGTAAAAGCATAAAAGAAATGAATGATACATCTATCCCTTCGAGTTTTATGACTAGGCAAGGAATGAAGACGGGAATATGACATTGGGCACTTTAGAATTTTTTTTTTTTTTTTTTTTTTGAAATATTAGTGGCACTAGTTACCCATATACGTACACAAATTAAGGAACAATAGATTATGCAATAGCAATACCAAGTAGAGATGAAAACCAATATCACACTTTTATAAGGCGCTATATATTTGGTACTTTACATTGCTATACTTGCATAAGCATGAGCATGTGTGTGTGGGGTATGAGTTCATAGAGCCAGATTCTAGTAAATCCTTTAAGAGTTGATGCTTGACATTAATTACCCTTTTTTAAAAGTTGGCACTCTCAAGGAAGAAAATATTATATCGTAATATATAAGCAATACATATAGATAGGTAGGTGAATTAATTATATTTAGCAAAATGTGAAAAATACGTGCCAATTTCGTAGCTACCCTACTGATTCCTTTTCCTCCGTTTGGAAGAACAGTTAGCGCTTGAAGGAAATAAATTATTATTCTAACCAAAACCTCTGCTGATCACATGGGGCACACAGTTTTGAATTACCTCATGAAGAAATGTAAATAATTCAGTATCATTTGCTTTTCTTTCCCTATATTTTTCAGTATTAGCCATTTTATATGGTGAAAATAAAATGTTTTTTTTTTATAAATAAATAAAATGTTAGTCTCTCACAATTTAATCTTATCAAGTGATGAGGAGAAATGACAATGGGATTAGTCATGGTGTGCTAAAGTCTAAAGAACAGAACAAGTTACAACAAACAATTTTGGATCACAATTTATAGCTTGTGGAATTTAAACGGCAATTCACAACTGTATGGAACTCATTAATTGTAGACTCTAACGTCGCAGCCACTATGCCCTAAATTTTAGGGTGCTGATAATGGCCTTTCAGTTGTTATCTAATGATCTCTAAATCGCATTTGAACCAAAATCTGGTTGCCTCCCAAAACAAAATAAGAAAAACGAAAGGAAAGGAGATTTCCCCTTTGAAAAGGACGGAGAAAGGAAAAAAAAAAAAACAAAGGAAAAAATAACTTCATAGCCTTGTCACCGAGTGAAAATGCTCCAAAGGTGAAGTGGAGCCGACCACCAATGTCTCATTATTGAAATTCTTGACAAATCGAGGAAATGATACGTGCACAAAATTACATAGATTTCATGTTACCAACAAAGCAAGAAGTCGAAGATGAGAACTGAGGTTAGGGAACTTAGGAGAAACATTTCTCTCTTTAGTCTCTTTCTTGAGTGCGTATGCGCAAATGGCGCAAGAAGACAACTAAGTAGGTGCCACCGTCCCTCACCTTATGGGGACAACACTGATCACAAACCCAAAAAAAAAAAAAAAAAAAAAAAAAGAAAAAGAAACATTCTTAGTGAAAGTCTAGTCTCTATGGTAAAGTTTATTAGATGTCAATCATGTAGTGTAGTGCCGTCCCGACCCATAATCAACTGGGTCTATGCATGTTTCGTGTTAGGTTAGATCTGGTCTACCGAAAATGTATGTCATGCTTGTGCAAGTCGAAGATTGAAAACCATAGGCCCAAGCATAAGCCCATGCATATCTCGTAGTTATGCTTTTATTGTGTTTGACACAATAGAGCATAGAAAATTAGGTCAGTCCCACTGGACCACTTAAACCCTTTTAAATTATTCTTTGTACGATAAAAAAAAAAAAAAAAACACTTTTCAACAGGAAAATAATACAAATAAAAATATAGTTTCACATTTTTAAAGGTCATATGATGAGGTTATGGATCAATTACTTTTATAATTGTTAAATCTTACCATTTTTAAATGAAATTAAAGTAATGTAAACTATTTGATTTTTTAGGTGAATGTATGAATTAATTATATTTTCATGGATTATAGATATGTAATTCTTTTAATTATTGAGAAACGTGTATTAATTCTTTGTGAAGGCCTATCATACTAGCTGAACCCATATGCTTAAAACTTATGAGCATGGTATGCCTCACCCCCTCTTATCGTGTTTAACTCACCAAATATTACCTTATGTCGTGTTGTCTTCAGTCCTGCTCAAAATTTATCATGTCGTCCCATCGTCTTAATTATTGGATGGTTCATCCCAATTGATTTCTCCTGAGGGAGGGCCGAGGGTGTCTATGTCGTAATACTATTTTTAGAAAAAAAAGCCTTGAATTTAATTACAAAATTTTTAGAGGTTGGCTATTCAATTGATAAGAAGAACAAAAGTTTATTCCCCCACTATTTCTCATTTAATAAAAAAAAAAAAAAAAAAAAAAAAAAAAAAAAGAAAGAAGAAGAAGAAGAAGCGTCAGCAGCCGCTGCCATACTACCAGTCGCATTGTTTTCTTTTTCACCTTTTCCCTGGGTGTCCTGAATTCGAGACAGATTCTGCCATAGCCCATAGGTAGCCTAGGAACGTCAGATGCAAGAATACCCATTTGTAACTCGACCCGATAATTGCTGTCTATCTGCCACGTATACTTTGCTTTTTTGTCGCTTTATTCAAAGCTTTCAAATCTGCTTTTATGCCCACTTAGAAATCTGAGTCCTGAAGACATGATGTACTAGGCTGAGGACCATTCAAGAACCGCTGCTTGACTGCCACATGTCATGCAAAATCAAATTGTGATAATTGACGCACAAAAGCACTGTTATATAGCGTATGCAGTAACTCACAAAAGCATGTCGTTTGCAAACGATAGAAGTGCTTGGCTTCCGCTACCAATGTGAGGATTTCTTTATTTCTTTGTCAGAAAACAGAATGTGGGTTTCATGTCACTATTAAAACATATATATACTGGGGTCCTGGGGAACTACCTCAAATCCCAATTTTACATCAATGGCCAAAAAGAAAACAAAAATGCCTCTATATGAAGACATAAAAAGTTGTTCTAGAATTATTTTTATGGGATTTAACGTTCTTTGAAACCATAATTCAAAAACAGAAAATATATATTTTTAGATTGTTGAAGAACAAAACAACCAACGCAAGCAATCACGTTTATGTTTTTCATGGGAAACAAACAAACACTTATATATATATATATATATATATGTATATACACATATAGAGAATATATGTCCGTTGCCAAATTTTATTTGTCAAAAATCATTCGAATTATTAGGTTGTATTGGATCCCCCTAGATCGGCTATAAACCAAAAGATATAACTGCTCCCAAGCTTTAATCAGAGCATATAGTTTGAGACCATGACATCGACAGCTGCACATGTTTTGGTCGGTGAACTTCACCCTAATGCACAATACAAACATCCATTTCAAATTTTTGCTTTTTGTTTATTTTTGTTGTCTTGCCAAAACTTCTGACTTATATACCCACGTACATCATATAATATGTGCTGATTGACTGCCCCAAAGTACTCTTGTCTTATTCTTCTTCTTCTCATCGGTAACAGTACCACTCTTGTGAGCAATAACGGCTTTGCCTTGTGCCCTTATCTTTTAGTAGGAAACCAAGTTGTTTCTTTGATCATTCACTTCCATCTTAATTACAAACGCCGACATGAGCTTACGTGTATAAGAAAATATTATAATATTTTTTCCGATTACGTGTATAAGTATCATTGGATAACGATAGTTATTAAATATCTTGTATTATAGATATATATGCATTAACTAAAACAGTACAACTGGCTGTTGAAATATAAGTGCAGTCTATGATTTATAAAGATTCTTCGATAGGATGAGCGGATAAGATAATGGGGTACTCGATTCAACATGTCTAGTTAATAGGTGATGATGAGTAATATATGATCAGGTTGAGACGAATGGGCAAAGCTAAAGGGCATTTTCAGTTTAATTGTAGCATGGAATGAAAGTTAAGCACGTTAATGACTGCTTTGACTTCTTCAACTATACGCAAGTTCAAGTATTACTCTCGAAAGGATTAAAAAAAAGGAGTAATATGACCCAGTTTTAGCATAAAACATGTCCATGAAGAGTTGTTGATAACTGATAAGACCATTTTAAACTGGATAAGTGTTTGCATCAATATTATCTGTACAACTATAACAAACATCATACCCTCTTAAAAGGTTTCTATGCAATAATAATAATCTAAAGAAACTAAACAATTATGTGATTCTTGTCACACCTGTTTT